GGAGAGGGAGAAGCAGGCTTCCCGCTGAGCAAGGAGCCAAATGCGGGACTCGATCCCAGGACCCCGGGATCATGACCTGAGCAGAACAAAGGCAGACGCTCAACCATCTGAGCCACCCAGGCACCCCTGATAAGGTCACCTTTAAGGAGAGCTCTGATAAAAGTGTTAAGTGTAAATGATGCCACTAACTGGGAAAAGAAAACAGCAAATGCAGAGGTCCTGCGGCAGAAGCACTCATGGCAGCATTCAAGGTATAGCAAGGATGTTCAATCAATGCTCGTTTTAAATGATACAGAGATCAAAAGATGGAATCAAAGAAGAGGCAAAGAAAATTAACAGACAGTTACTATTTCTGGAGGTATGACCTCATAATTAAGTGCTGGGTGTCTTTAAAGATTACTGTTGAAAGGCACTATTTTAAACAAATCATGGAAATCATAAATACAGAGCCACAAGAAAGATGAAAATCACAAGTGTCTGGATATCACATGAATTGCTACTTATGGCTATGGATGGATGGTTACCAGAGTTATTTGCTGACATGAAAAAAGTGTGCTGGATCTCAACTTAAAGGAAGACATGATTTGATCTGGAAAGCCAATGAAAAGACTGACCTCAAAAAACGTACGTATTTCATGAAATGTGGCTTTTTAAAACAATATTTCTAAATTAATAGGTATCAATTTTTCCAACATTTTTCTGAAACCACCACATGGGAAAAAAAATGAGGGAAATTGCTTTGTTATTTTGTCACTTTACAGTAGAGCTTATAAGATATCACCAGTGGTACTCAATTCACTAAAAATCAGAATCACCTAGAAGCTTTTAAAATTACCAATGCCTAGACTACTTAATAAACATTTGATTTTTTAGTTGGTTTGAGGTGGGACTGGAGCATCTTTTATAGAAGCTCCCCATTTCTAGGAGCGCTAATACACAAAATTTCACTTTTAAAAACTGCATTTTACTCAACTATGCAAACCTTCAATATCAAGAGAAAAAGGGTTAACTGGTGAGGTTTAAGTAAATTTTAGTTTGTATTTCCACATAAATTATGTTCTTCATACTGACCTTTTAAAAGTCATCATGAACACTCATGCATCTAATTAACCGCCAGGTAAGAAAAAAAATGGGAAGAAAACAAAGTGTTCCTCCTAATTCAGCAGGGCAGGACATGTAAAACAATATTCTGGTTGATAACATTCTGGATGAAGTCTAAAACTCATGAATCTTACCTAGATGAAGGCACAAACTTTGGAGTCTGTATATCATCTTTGTAAGTAAAAGATACAACCGCATATGGACATACATGTCTCGGTCTTCGCCTGAGTTCATCAAAGCTATACTCATAAAAATAATACTAAAAATAAGAAAATGCAAAATTAACTTCTGTAAGACAAGATGTACACAGTAGAATCTTTATTTGCCTGATTTTTGAGAAATATAACACCATTTAAACCTCTAACAGACACTATCTTTAAGCACTGCTTATCAATTTAATTAAAATAATTTGTACCTTATATTCATTTTATGATATAAAATATTCGCCTTCTCTATCTCAGATGCACTAGTAGGTACTCTAAAAGCCTACTTCTGAAAAGCTTACCCCTGGGAATGTGCAACAAATTTCCTCACAAAAATGTTACAAATGGACATCTGTAAGTTCCCAAGTCAGCCCAGAAAAGTCAATTTGATACAAAAAAGTAAAATGCTAAGGACACAATCTCAACCAAATCTAGCATTTTGTTCATTTTTTTTTTTTTTTTTTTAAGATTTTATTTGAGAGAGAAAATGAGAGAAAAAGCACAAGCTGGGGCGGGGTGGGGGGAGGCAGAGGGAGAAGCAAACTCCCTGCTGAGCAGGGAACCTGATGTGGGGCTTGATTCCAGGTCCCTGGGATCATGACCTGACTGAAGGTAGATGCTTAACCAACTGAGCCACCCAGGCCCCCTGTTCATTATTTCCAAAGAAAAACATATTCTTGGTTCCAACTGCAGACCAAGCAGCAAAGAGGAGGTGGAAGAGATTATGAACACAGGTGACAAAGGTAGCTAATTCTCTTCTTACTACCCATCTGCCTCTCCCCTTCACCTATTCACAACATTCATTAGGGTTTTGTGACTTGGAGACTAGTGATTTTCATTAAAAAGAATGCTCTAGTTTATAAACAAAGCATTGCCCTTCAAAGTCCATTCCCTTGGGAAACTTCTGATTTCAATGTTGTTGCTGCTCTAAAAATGCCTGAAAATTTTTTGGAAACATCAAGCTAGTTTACAAGTTCTGTTAGAAAAACCTACTACTTTAAAAAAAAAAAAAAGAAAAAGTTACTGCTACCTTCTGCAACTACTGCCCAAAAAGTAATCAAATGAGCCAGCCCAGATGACTTTGGTGAATATAATTTTTGCTAAAAGCCCCCAACAATACGTCTTGCTTGCCCATTCAGAGTCTTCAAAAAGAGTCAATTATACTTCAATTTATTTATTTTTACTTTTTTTAAGATTTTATTCATTTATTTGACAGAGAGAGACACACAGCGAGAGAGGGGAAGTGGCAGGCAGAGGGAGAAGCAGGCTCCTGGCCGAGCAGGGAGCCTGATGCGGGGCTCGATCCCAGGACCCTGGGATCATGACCTGAGCTGAAGGCAGACGCTTAATGACTAAGCCACCCAGGCACCCCTATACGTCAATTAAAAAAAAAAAAAAGTTTCACTTACAACTGAGTGTTAAAACAAGGAACAAGAACAAATTTTATTTTATATAAATAAAGTGAAGATTAAAGAAAGAAAAAAAAAAACATCTCCAGGGGGGTTAGCATACCACACTCCTTTTCCCATACAATCCATCTGGCTATATACATTTTTTATACATTTGTTAAAAAAATAGCATTCATTTTTTCTATAAAGTTTTATATAAAGTTTATATTATTAATTCCCCATTACTTTATACAATAGTCCCCCCCCATATACATAGTTTCACTTTCCAGTTTCAGCTTCTGTAATCAACCATAGTCCAGAAGATGTTCCTCCTTCTGACAAATGGTCAGAAAGTCAACAGTAGCCTAACATTACGTCACAGTAACCACGTCATTCCCCTCACTGCATCTCAGCATGTAGGCATTTTATCATCTCATATCATCATGAGGTTGAATACAGCACAGTGAGATTTTGAGAGACTATAATAACTTTATAGTATAATATTCTTATTTATTATTATTGTGATTAATCTCTTACTGTGCCTAATTTATAAATTAAACTTTATCATAGGTATGCAGGCATAGGAAAAACATAATACATACAGAGTTCAGTACTATCCGTGGTTTCAGGCACCCACTGAGAGCCTTGGAACGTATCCCTGAGGATAAGGGGGGGGCGGGGACTATTGTCGTAAAACATCATATAAAAACATAGTGACTAAAATTCGGCCAACAGGGGCGCCTGGGTGGCTCAGTCGTTAAGCGTCTGCCTTCGGCTCAGGTCACGATCCCAGGGTCCTGGGATCGAGCCCCGCATCGGGCTCCCTGCTCGGCCAGGAGCCTGCTTCTCCCTCTCCCACTCCGCCTGCTTGTGTTCCCTCTCTAGCTGTCTGTCTCTCTCTCTCTGTCAAATAAATAAAATAAAATCTTTAAAAAAATAATAAATTAATTAAAATTCGGCAAACATATACTTTTTTACTGTGTATCATTTTAAAGCTTAAAATTTAATTCTAAGTTTGCATCTTAGAAAAATGTTAAAATAAAAAAAATCTATCAAATCAATAGCATAAAATTACATGAATTAAGGTAATTCAAGGGGCTTCAACTTTAAAGGATGAGTAGTATTTTATTAGGCAGGAGATCTTTCTAGGCCAGAATCTGGGCCAAGAGAAGCCAAGGCTTCAAAATGAAATGAGGTGTGTTGAGGGCAGCGATCATACAAAATACAAGGTTGGAAGAACTAGACTAAGGAATCTCAATATTACTCTGTAAGTCTAGGGAGCCACACTATGTTTCTGAGCTGTCTTGAAAACATGAACAAATAGCAGTGAGAGACACTCCAGTAGTGTTATATGGACACCCAGAGGTTAGACTGGTGTGGTGGCAGAAGGTACAGAAAGGGAAACATTAAAGGATTTGGTGACAAATAGATATGAAGTCATAACACTGAAATGAATCCAAGCACCTACCTGAGTAAGCTCATAGGCTCTGTAAGCCAAAAGTGATGTAACTCTATTGGCATTCTTTGATACGTGACATTCATGCTTTGGTGTTGGGTCCAAAGCACTTTTATTTAATATAGATTCCAAACTTTTAACACCCATGGGGTCGTATATACTCTTTATTTTACCCTAAAATAGACAAAACATTTTAAGTCCACCTAAACTTATTATTGACTATATAACATTATAAAATACTTCTCCAAATACAGATCACCTATGACAACAGTTCTTTCCTTTAATACCTGGTAACACTCGACACATTTTACCAATGTTGAAGCACCAAAAATGACAACTAAAAAGGTGCTGTTTGAATTTGCTTAATAACAAGAAAATAAAAATTTTATTTACAACACCATTACCATTAAATGACATTACCAACATATTACCCTCTTTATTCTTTTCTTTGGGAAGGAAACCAAATAGATCAAAGATGGCAAACCACTCTTGAAAATATCTTTATATACTAAACTAAGCAAGGACTGATTTTAATTTAATCAAACTCCTAAAGACAGGGACAACTAAAATCCAAATCAAATGTTGTCCTTGATAATATGAAATGTAAATGTTAAAATTACCTTCATTATTTTAAAAATAACAACATCGCCCACTGCCCCAGGTTCCAAAGGATTAGCTTGTAATAAATCAGCATACCTAGAAAGATAGATACCTAGTGAAGAGGGAAAAATTAAAGAATTTGAATAAGGGCACAAATACAAAAAAGAAAATCCAAACATTTAACCTAATGATAAGAGATAAAAGGTATGACACCTTTAAAAATGTAAGGACAGTAAAGAGAGCTGATATTTAACCAAGACAGAAACAACAAAAAGAACCAGAAACATGAAACTAAGACAAAGTTTCTCAAAATCACCAGGACTACACTGACTTTAAAAAAGAAAAAAAAGAGAGATAATCTTTGATCAGTCTGAAGTAAGCAAAATCAGAAACAAAGGGTAAAACTGGTTTCACATTACAGAACCTGAAACTATCCTCCTTTTCTGGGAACATGACAAGGCATACATGAATTTATTTTTAAGGAACGCAGCAAAATTAAATAATATGTTTAAAAGGCAACAGTAGATAAAGGGAAAAAAAAAAAAAGATTACCCATGGAAGGACTGCCAAGAATTGTTATTTTGGACTGGCCCACCTGTAATCCTTTTTCACATATGCTTTGGACCTAAATAAACAAAACACTTCATCTCACAATCATAATACATTAAAAACATGGAAAGATAATTTGTCAACTTGCTCTATAAAACCCAGGCTTCTAAACTTATGTAGGTTCTGCATTACAGAAATTTTATAATAATGACAGTTTATGACTAAATATCAATGTGAAACTGGCTTATGCGTCCAATGTAACCATAGCTGGAATCCATTTTTGTTTATACTAGGTGTGACAGTCAGAATTCATGCCACCCACATATATAAACATTCCCTTTTAGAGAGAATTAGAACTGGCAAAATATTTAAATAAAAATTCCACCTAAACATCTTCAATTGAAGGAGAAAAAATAGTTCCCAGCACATATAACCAACAATACATAAGATAATCTATTTTAATAAAGGGAGAATTATTCATTATCAAGCACATCTTAGGGAAAGAAAACAGGTTTGGTCAGAAAAAATATAAGCACATCTGAAAAGCAAATTACATGACAATGAAATACCTTGCCCTACTAAATCATTTCTTCCATTTATACCTCATATCATTTATACTAACTTATAAAATAGTAGTTTATAATTGTCAAGTGTACTGTTACATTGTAAAACTAGTAACTTAATGGAAACATCCTCAAATTGCTTTTTATAAAGAGTTCACTCACCTGGTATCGATCAACCATAAGAAATGCATAGGATTCTGAAAGTTCTTTATCTAAACGACCATCAAACTTCAGTTCTCTTCGCTTTTCTGTGAACTAAACAAAATTAAATCTTTAACAACTCCTTAGTATGTGATTATGTCTTTCAAGCTAAGAGCTTCAGTAATTTTATTCCTAAGAAATCCAAATGTAACCAAAGTAGAAATTATCTTTTCTCTCCCTGTAATTTCTGTGCTTCAATTTTTTCCTCGTTATAACTAGCTCTTTACCTCTTAATAATCAAATAAGCATCTAGTGTTTATCAATTTTAACTAAATTTCTACTAAAATTTTACCACATTCCAACTCTCCCACAGATTTTTAAGTTCATGTTTTAGTTACCTTTGGATCTCTCACTTTACTTAACATGATGCACTGCATACAGTAGGTGGTTTAATAAATCTCTGCCGAATGATCAACTTTTGGACTATAAACTCAATTAGGACACGGTAAAGGTTCCATTTCTTTTTTTTTTTTTAAAGATTTTATTTATTTATTTGAGAGAGAGAGAATGAGATAGAGAGCATGAGAGGGGGGAGGGTCAGAGAGAGAGGCAGACTCCCTGCTGAGCAGGGAGCCCGATGTGGGACTCGATCCCACATGGTCAGGATCATGACCTGAGCCGAAGGCAGTCGCTTAACCAACTGAGCCACCCAGGCACCCAAGGTTCCATTTCTTTAAAACTATAGTCTCAATGCCAACTATGTAAGACATGTTCCTTACATACTGCCAGGATAAAAAAGCAACTTTGTCTAAGTATAACTAAACTGCAAGTCACTGACTTTCACTTTTACATACAAGCAAACAGATATACATTCAAAATATGGAGCTCACATCTAATAGATTTATATGCAGTATTCAAGTAATTACTGATGTTCAGTAATATGATTAATCATTAGACTAAATTTTCATATAAAATTAATAAATAACCCCTATCATACCATGAAACCACATCAAACCATCAAGGTTTTAATTTTCTTGGGGAGCCAGTAACTTCATGGATTCTCTCAAAATTCAATTCTGGTAGCACTGGGTTAACCAACTCACAAAAGTACATAATTAATAGTATTTCATGTGCACTAGGAAGCAATAAACACATAAAATATTTCTAAACATCTCATTTATATCATCTCAGAATATGCATTCTGGCTTTTCCTAAAAATATTCTAATTTGTACATGTAACTTAATACTCTGTTTACATTTTTTCACTAAGAATTTCTACTAGCGATATTAAGAGAATTCAACTACTAAGCAATAACTGGGGAAAAAATTAAGCATATCCTAAAAAATATATACATTTGATTACCTTAATTATCTTCCAATTTAGACATAATACAGATTATAGATTTAATTAATATGCACTTAAAAGAGCAAAGAGCCTTATAAGTTTATAATTAAGCCATTATACAGTAAGCTATTCCTATGCTTAAGATTCATTTTTAATAAGTTATTTTACATAATTGAACATGAATTTATCCAAATAGTGCTATATCAACAATACTTTGAAGAAAAAAGATGTCATTTAAAACTTGTTTTCCTTTCCATAATTCGGCTTTCCTAAAAACTAGCGTTTTTAAAGAAAAGGAACATAAAACAACTTCCAGGCTATTAACTGGTTCTGAAGAATCTTACAATAAGCACAATTTAAAATATACCTCCTTAATTGACATACAATAAATTGCATGTCCTAAAAAAATAAAATAAAAAAATAAATAAAACATACCTCCTTTTCCAAAAGTTCATTATGTATCAAGCAAGCACGTTTGTAGTTAAAATTTGTTACTGAGGTTGGTTCAAGGTAAGATGAATGGAGAATATTTAGAACATCTTCAAATTCTCGAGAGCCTGGAGTTAATGGCTGAAAAAGTGCTAAAACAAACAAAAAAATTAATTTTAACATGATTCCATCTCAAATATAGTCTCTTAAATTTTGTGGGTTTAATGTAACTTTTAAGTGAAGTTGAAAAGTCATCAAGGCTATCTTATTTTGTGATATTCAAAAGAGACACTTATTAATTCACTGAAGAAAAATTACAGTTGCCTACATTGACCAGTTCCTTCAGCAATGAGCATTTGACATTACAGATTGGGACAAGAGGTTACGATTTTGCAAAAACTTAAGAATGCTACATTAGGCAACATAAATCGCTTTAAGACTCTCATAAGAAAGAACCTGTGCGTATCCTCAACTTTTCTCCACTCTTATCTTATGTTACACTGAAATAGTATGTCTAGGACCATTTCCTTCAGCAAACTAAATGCTTACAGCATAAATGAATGTATAAAAACATTTAAGACACTTAGGTGTCTATAAAATTATTCTATTTGGTTTTTAGTACTAAAATTAGAATAAAATATGCTAATTCCGTTGCCTTCTTGTATTACCAACATAAAGTAGTAGAACATTTATTATGAAAGCTTAGTGAAATGGAAAGATGCAGAGCTTTGGAGTCAAGCCTGGACACAAATAACAAATCTAGCATTTATTAACTTTGTGGGAGAGCCTGGGTAAATCAACCAAAAATAAGCTCAGTTCTCCAATCTGTAAAAAACTCTAGTTATCCTAATAACCACTAAATTCTACATTCCACACATGAGACAACACATGGAAAAAGCTCTAAGCACAGCATCCAGTATAAAGACAATGAAATTGTTTATCCCCCCCTACAACTTTCCACACCCCCATTTAATTTTTAAAATACTTAAAAGTCAAATATCCAATTTGTTCTTGGACCAGTGGACTACTGGTCTAATAATTTCAAATTTCCACTTTATGCATGAAATAGTTTAACTTACTAATAAATTTCAAAAGTCTACACATATAAATGTTCCCTAAGCCAAAAAAGGAACCACTTATATTTCACTGTATATAGAAGTATCCATAGAACTTATGTTATACTGTATTACCTTAACTTCTTTTGAGATTTTATTTCTGAAGAGAATAAATGTCACAGTCAAAACAGTTTTAGGCTACTACTAAAAACAGTGTTCTGCTTGTACATATTCTTAAAGATACTAGAGAGCAGCTGTTTACTGTAGTTTCTATACATGGTGTTAGGTTTTGAAGGACATGATTTCAAATGACATATCCATCCATCCATTTACCACACTATGTATATATTACAAAAGTGTCTGTAGGGGCGCCTGGGTGGCTCAGTCGTTAAGCGTCTGCCTTCGGCTCAGGTCATGATCCCAGGGTCCTGGGATCAAGTCCCACATCGGGCTCCCTACTCAGCGGGGAGCCTGCTTCTCCCTCTCCCTTTGCCTGCCGCTCTGCCTACTTGTGCTCTCTCCCTATCTGTCAAATAAATAAATAAAATCTTTAAAAAAAAAAAAGTGTCTGTAAAAATGTAACATTCAATAACAAAGGGTATATAAACGGTTCCTACTACTTTGTGATCCCACACTAAAAGAAATAAAGCCAACATAGTTATGATGCAATAGACACTAACTAGGGGTAAGCGGGGGGAAAAAATCACTCAAAAGAACATACTATTAAATACAAAATGTGTCCTATAATCAAATTTGTAGATGAATATACTCAATAATCTATTGATTGTTAAGGTCCACAAGAGCAAGAACTGCATCTGCTTTGTTCATTACTCTTATCTTTATCATATGCCAGTAGCTAGAACTGTGAGCACTGGCCCCAAGTAAGTTGAATAACTACGTAAGTTAGTAAAGAAAATAATAAACTTTGTCAAAGATTTTTTTTAAAACTGAATACAAATATATTCTACAACTACCAAAGCATCATCGCTATCATTTTAAGTCTTACAAATTCACCAATTCAGTAATATGTAAAACAAAATGAAAGCTTAAAAGAGGAAGAAATACACCCTCATTCAAATCTGTTTTACAGAATGTGGTAGGAAAAAACATCCTTGTAACTGTTCCCAACTAAGTTGGGAAAAACTTGGCAAGGAAAACAGCATGTGGAATAGTCCTTACAGGCTTTCACATCCAAAATGGGTTAGGTAGGATTTTAAAAATTGGGTTTTATGCAGGACTGATTTTTGTTTCTAACAAAATGACTTCAGACATCTAAAATGGCTCCGCCCAAAAGTACCATATGGCATTAAACTTCCATGAAATTATATACGCCTAAATTATTTTCCTTAGTTAAGCTGTCCAACACTATTCCCACCACTGATTTAATCATAAATGAAAAATTAAATCATTTTAATTTATATAGAAATTAACATTCCAATTCTCAGAGAAGTACTAAACAGTTGTTTTATTCCAAAGTATGTCCTATAGTCACGTCAAATGTACTCAAGTAGACTGCCAGGGGGGAAAAATTATAGATGAAAATATAGAAAAAATGCCTGTGTCCGAGGTATTTTCTATTTCAAATGACTCCGTTGGCTTTACTACTTAGGCCAGTTATAATTTTTTCCCCTCCCAGTTATCATTTCTACAAAAATAATGTTGTAACTATTTTTAAGGATTTCAAGTCAATGTGCTGGTATTAATTAGAAATTTAACAAGTTTATGTTCTGAATGTACATTCCCAAGTTGCCTATTTTGTACTTAATAATCCTCTTAACACTGAACATCCTCTGATCACTTCTCTTAAAGAAAAAAACGTATGTACCATAATCTTAATTATGGGTCATTATTTGAGGCAATAATAAACAACCCTGTGATTATCCAAATGGGGAATAGAACATCTTATATATACTAATTATTTCACTTAATAAAGTATCCAATATATTTTTCTCTGGATTCTGACAATTACTGAGTCTAATCATTAGCAGGTCATTATTACTATTCAGATACTATACTGTTTACATGCATTATCTCATTTAATCATTAAAACCATCCTATGAAGTTCAATTATACCCATTTCACAAATGAACCTAACAGCTAACAGCTAATGTGGCCCAAGATTACATAGTTAATGAATAAACAGGGCAGGTAGAATTCGAATTCAGGCCGCCTAGCTCCAAATCTTGTATCCTGAGCTCTAAGTAAAAGAAAAGATTTATGTATGTGTATACAAGAACTGAAACTAATCATTACAGGGCTGGAAAAATAAAATCATTTCCTTTTTAGACCAAGAAATTATACAGAATGCTTAGACACAAGAAATTAGGTATAAAAGGAAAAGAACTTGATGTCCAGGATTATGCTCTTTATAGCTTATGTGGCTTCTATAAAAGCTCTTTTCTCATTTTAATGCATTTAACAGGGCCAAAAGCCATCATACACTTTTTTGATTTATAAAGATTAACAGAAGTAACAATAGTTCTTCCACACATTGAAAAACATAATTTTGGGCGCCTGAGTGGCTCAGATGGTTAAGCGTCTGCCTTCGGCTCAGGTCATGATCCCAGGGTCCTGGGATCGAGTGCCGCATCGGGCTTCCTGCTCCTTGGGAGCCTGCTTCTCCCTCTGCTTCTGTCTCTCATGAATAAATAAATAAAATCTTTAAAAAAAAAAAAAAAAAGAAAAACATAATTTTGCTTATTTGCAGGATTTCTATCAAATACATGTAAGACACATGGCTAATGAGTTGACTTTTGTCAATTCACAAGGTTCCTTACTGACAAAATTGATTATAAATGTTTTATGGGACTGAAGAGCAGATTTAGAAAGACACAGGAGATTTGTAATTCAGACAAGGAAAAGGATTGTATCACAGAATTAGAACTAGAATTCAGGTCTCCTGACTTCATATTATCCATGCTATTATTGAGTATCTTTTTTATAACTGGTAGCATACAAAAAATTTAGGGGCGCCTGGGTGACTCAGTCGTTAAGCAACTGCCTTGGGCTCAGGTCATTGTCCCAGGGTCCTGGGATCGAGCCCCACATCGGGCTCCCTGCTCAGTGGGGAGCCTTTCTCCCTCTTCCACTCCCCCTATTTGTGCTTTCTCTCTCGTTGTGTCTCTGTCAAATAAATAAAAATCTTTAAAAAAAAAAAAATTCAATTTAATGTTATATTTAAGCAGTTGGAATAGACATAAAATTTAGGTCATGAAACAGCTTGGTTCCTTAGTCAAAGGAACATTTTTCTCAATTTTACCAATTTACTTAATTCAATGCCATGTATTAAGATGTGTATATGTAAAAGAAAACCAAAAAAATCATATCAACATATATGTAAAAACAAACTAACTTTTAAAATAAAAGACCACTGTTACCAAAACATACAAATAAGACAATGTGAACTACACATTCCAATTTAAAGTAACTAATTCATGGAAGAAAAGGAAATAGCCAAGAGTGGGCTGTGGATCATGTGTGTTCTGCAATTCTCTGAATCCATCTCTCTGATGTCTACTGGTATTGATTAAAATACAACAAATATCCATGTTCCAATAATTTACTTGAAAGACTTTAAAAATCATTTTTCTTCAGTCTAATAAAATTGCTACAGACATAATACTTTAGGAATGGCGGTTTCATCTCTAAATAAAGACTGAACATAGTGGGGTGCCTAGTGGTTCAGTCAGTTAAGCGTCTGCCTTTGGCTCAGGTCATGATCCTGAGGTCCTGGGATCAACCCCAGCATAGGGCTCCCTGCTCAGTAGGAAGTCTGCTTTTCCCTCTCCCTCTGCCCCTCCCCTACCCACTGGTGCTCTCTAATAAATAAAATCTTTACATAAATAAATAGAACATAGGGCAGAATCAAGAATGAATATGCTGGCAGGGACTAGAGAGACAAGTACAAATATGAAACTATTGACTTTTTCTGGCCTGGGGAATAAGTCAAAGAAAATTTTACTTCTATTACTTAGAATGTATATACACCTATCAAATGTTTATACGGATGACAGGACTGTGCCAATATTTCCCTGTTTATTTCTATGCAGGGAGATCTATGGTACTTAGAACCCAATCATCCATATACAACTACTGAAACACCATGCAAATATCCTCAAAGGAGACTTTGCCCCAAAGCCTTCAAAAAGACAATTACAAATTTTTGGGAAAAGATGGGTGTTAGGGAGGAGAATTAGCCATTAATTCTGCTGGACTAGACCAGTATGGATGCAGGTACATGAGTAGCCTTGTGCCCTACATAAAACATTAACCAGTAAACATTTTCCGGAAAGTGAATCATCACTATTTCATTCCCAAGAACTTTGGCGGGAAAAATTGTATCAAATTACCAATTTTAATTTGCTTTTAGACTTATAGTATTAGATTTTAAAGTAAAAAAAGGCAAGAGTGAAACATCTACTGACAAAATGCAATTGTACAATTTGGTTAAATGTCAAAACAGTGCCTCTTTACACTATAGAAAATAGCCCAGCCAATAAACACCACAACATACATCAAAGAGTAAATTTTACTCTTCTAGTCAATAGTTACGTCACTTAATCTGTCAGTACTGATTAAATGTGTTAATTTCATAATGAACATAAGTTCTGAATCTCAAAATACCCCAGAGATGAAGATATACTAAATATTTCTAAATGTTACAGAGGGTAAAAAAAATTTTTACTAGATCAGATCAAAAGCTAACAAAAACACTTAGATTACAAAGAAAGAAGTCTTGTTGCAGTCTGAGTAGTGGTAAGTACTATACACTTACCAGCTGTAAGTTCAAATTCCAACTCTATCTTTTACTAGCTGTATGACCTTGAACAAGTCATCTGACTTCTCATTACTTCGGTTTCCTCATCTGTAAAATGGGAATAATACCTACTACATGGAATTGTTGAGATTCAGTTAATATGTATAAAGTGCTTTAAACAATGCCTCCAACTTACTGATAAGCACTATAAAGTGTTTGCCAATATTATTAATTAGAATGGCAGTATTCTGGATGTCATGCTATTGTCAATACCAAAAAAATAACTTGGAGTCAGGAAGTTATACTCACGTAGTATTTAAGGTACCAAAAATAGTCAAGTCATAATGTTAAATTTCACTGGAAAAGTATAGTCACAAGCAAAGGTCTGCCATATTAAAATATGAATGCAAAATAATCTTTGATACTGAAAGGTTCAGAGGTATCTACTGAAAATGATCTAAAATTCATGATAAAAGACTCAGATGACCACAACTAGTATCTAGCCAAATCCTGTACATAAAGTGATACCTTTCAAGAGATGATGTGGGGATGAACTGTGAAACTAGCAGCACCTGCCATACTATTTCTGATAAAGCATTTTTTTAAATTATGAAGACTTCAATTTTTCTATTAAATTCTATCACCAAACACTATCTTCTTTCAGCTTGGACAGGATAAAGTCCATGGTGGTAAAATAGCTGCTTATTTAAGTTTTAAAAACTCTATTTAAATCGTTACTGCATCATTTGCACAACTGCCGCTTAGTGCATAAATTATTTTCACTAAACATGAAAAAAGTCCAGTGTGTTTTATTTTCCTTACCTATAACCTCCCTGACAAGACAAAAGGTGACAACCTTTTGCCTCTAAGTGAAAATAGAAAACATAAATTTTCCCCAAGGAGCATCAGACTCAGGGGAGAAAGCAACTAGGTTTTAGATCTCCTAATTCCTCAATTATATTCACTTCTAGTGTGTTCAAATAAAGCCTATATTACAGTAACCTCTGGATTTACCTAATTAAAAAAACCACATGTAAACACAGTGCCTTTCAATATTTCCTGGTGACTTCCCTAGTGGCAAACCAAACTATGAGGATTTCTACAACAATATTCTGGTCCTATCAAAAGTTAAAAGACGGTAAATCCATGGTTTAAGATGTACCATAAACCGTATTCTTGGGCACTTAAAAGAGGAAAAAAAGGAAAACAAAAAAAATGGACTTCAAAATTTTATCAAGCTAGGAACAATTTGAAAAAAGTTCAATCTCCTACCTCTTTACCACAGCCCACCTGAATGTACTTCCAACCTACTCTCTGCCAATTGGTAATTTAGGATGAGCAGCTACATTTCCTCATACAGACTATACATCTTAACCAAATAAACCAAAGAATTGACAGCCCTGACCTTTACAAGTATCCTCTTGAACTCTAAAATACATTAATTCGCTTAAAAGATATTTCTAGAAACATTCCTCATGCTAGTGGACAAAGGTAACTTCATTTTTGTCAACATCATTTCTCACACCAAGGATTTCCTTGGTTTTGTCATGGAAATAGAAATTAACAGTTTGACTTCATTTGTATCTTACTGATAAAAGGCTCTAACAATTTCAGTTGTGCAAATGGAGATACGCACATGGAAAAAGGAAGCTCATGCTTAATTCAAGATTCCAAGTCTTTACTAAGATTTAAATTACAAACTAAAAAGCGTTCTGCAAAAAAAAAAAAAAAAATCCCTATAATTTTCCAAAAAGTAAATCATGAAAAACTAAACCATGCAGTAAAACAAAAAAAACTTTAAATTTAGACTAAATCCAGAATATCCCAAATCACTGGATAGTCAAAAATAGTGTAAGAGAAAACGGTAATACTAATTTTGATCTCCATTAGAAATGTGTCATAAAATAGCATTAAGTTTTAAACAGGTAAAAGTAGTTCATGTAACTGTTCCTAAATTGGTTCCAAAATCTAGACTGGCCTTTTTAAAAAACAAAACAAAAACTCTGAAGTTCTCTCGTCTGCAAGATCAAGTTGGTGACACTTGGGCATAAGCTAACTTCTGTTTTTTTCCATAGGGAAATTACTGCACCAAGAACCTACCTTCCCATTCTTCTCAAATACAAGAGAAAACATACTAAAGTTTGGATTTAAAGAGAGAGACCTATTTAACCTAACGCTTCAAAAACAAGGGGAAAACTCTTCATGGAAATGAAGTGTGATGGAAAATACCAGTGTGCATGGATCACATCTAATGGAGGTTTCTAAACAAGGGGGAGACGCTGACATCGAGCAAATTCCAAGTAGACACTTAGAGCTGAAGAATTTCCAAAGGGAGAAGCACTCGTGGTCCTCTGAACGCAATGGCCTTGGAGAAAGCCCCAGAATCCATGGCCACCGGCTATTTCCAGTGAGACTTGTCAGAAGCATCCTTAGGAGGACACACCAGCTTCTGTGCCTTCAGGGGCTGGGAGGGAGGGGCGCCGAGCTCCATCTTTCCTCTCTGGGAGCTGCAGCCTTACGGACAAGCTTCAAACCTGAGCTACTTCCAACTTCCACGGGGACAGGGGAGCAGCGGAGCGTGGTTGCACCGCTTTCCTCTCGCACCAGGCGCAGCAGCTGGGTGGCCGTGATAGTGAGGGGAGAGGCGGCTGGCGCTGCATGCGTGTTTACGTGTCTCGGATGGGTGTGGGAAGAAGAGACAGAGAGGTTCTAATGAAAAGATGGAGGGGAGAGAGAAAGAGGGGTTGGGGAAGAGGGGAAGCACCACCTTTCTTTTCTCTGCTCTTCCTGGGGATCTGAAAACTCCTCCTAACGGGTCTTTCGGGCTCTTCCGGGCCTTTGAGGAGAGCGGCTGCGCCCGCCTCAGACGAGTCCTGAGGCTGCTCGTGGCTGACGCTCGGGGCGGCCGAGGCCGCAGCGGTCTCCTCAGGCCCGGCGCCGCCGCCGGGCTCCGCGATGCTGAGGCCGCCGCCGCCGCCGCCGCCGCCGCCATTTTGTGGGGAGGACTCAAGCTCCGGAAGCGCCTGCTTCATCTCGTCGTCTCCGCCGCCGCCACTTTCCCAGCTCGCATCCGTCGGCGGAGAGGCCTCCGTCTCCCCAGCAGTCGCCATCGCGCCGGCGTGACGAGCTCCGGGAAGCTTCTGCCGGCAAGGTCGGCGGGGGTGGGGGGAAGGGGCGGCGGGCCGGCCTCGCCACCAAGCTGCTCTCAGCCCACCCACCCCCTTCCCCCCGTGGCCGCGAGCCGCGGTCCCGGCCCAGCAGCCTCTCGGAGGCCCAAAGCTGGCGCCCCAACCGTGCCGCCCGTCCCAGGTGCCGCTCCTCCCTCGGACAGTTCTTCTGCCGGCCCCGCCACTCAACGTGCTCGCGTCGGGGCCGGGAGGGGGCGGGCTCACCGCGGGCTGCTGCGCCAATGAGGGCGCGGCGCCCGCCTCCGCGGGTGCAGATAGACGGCGCAGGGGGGCGGAGCCTCGGGGTGCCCGAGCCCGCCAAAAGGGGCGACGGCAACGCCCTGCCAATACCTCGACGCCGCGGACCGCTTCGGAGTGGGTAGAGCTTAAGGCGAACTGCAAGTTCGGCTGTGACGGCTCCCGGCCAGCCGTGCAGGGGAGGGAGGTGCGCCTGGACCGGTCCCGCGAGCCCAGGCGTCGCCTATCATAGTAATATAACACCTATCTCCGCGCACGAGTTTCCTCCACCAAAAGAGGAGTCAAGCAATGGATGCAGGAGGAACCCAGCTCTGTGAAATATTTACGTGCATATGTGGACCTGGAGAGGAGATAAGACAATGGACTACAGCGAAAACAACCTGAAAGCCTCCAGGCCCCACCATCTGCCTTTCCCACCTGATCTTGCATCTTTACATTTTCCCTGTCCCCTTTGATCTTAAAGGGTTAGAACCAGTGGCATGTCTCCAGCCAGCAATGCCTGGGATCCTTTTTTTTTTTTTTTTTAAGACTTTTTTATTTAAGACAGACTGAGCGAGCATGAGCAGGGGGGAGGGGCAGAAGCAGTGTGCCCGCTGAGCAGGGAGCCCGTCACGGGGCTCGAGCCCAGGACTCTGGGATCATGACCTGAGCCGAAAGCAGCCGCTTAACCGACTGAACCACCCCGGAACTTCCAATACCTGGGATCCTTTAATGTGACCTCACAGCCTAGTGTTAACAAAATTTGGTTCTGGGGAGCTTAAAGGGAGGGTGGGGGTTGCTGGCTTCTAGACTTTTTTCCTTTGGTGTTTTGAGTTTTCCTGTGTCGAGTATATATGAAAGAAAAATCTAAAAGTTTACCGCCACATTAAAAGATATACAGCAGATGGGGTGCCTGGGTGGCTCAGTCGTTAAGCATCTGTCTTCGGCTCAGGTCATGATCCCAGGGTCCTGGGATCGAGCCCCACATCGGGCTGCCTGCTCCGCGGGAAGCCTGCTTCTCCCTCTCCCCCTCCCCCTGCTTGTGTTCCCTCTCTCACTGTCTCTCTCTGTGTTGAAAAATAAATAAAATCTTAAAAAAAAAAAAAGATATACAGCAGGTGGTCGCTCTCCCTTAAAACAATTTGTCAAGTGGAAGGCGTTTTAAATACTTGATGCTAACTAAATTGAAACTACTATCATGGGTTATCTTGAGTACAGACAGTATTCACAGGGTGCTTTCTGTACGCCAGGCACTGGACAAAGCCGTATACGTACCGTATCTCCATTTAATCCTCACAACAGCAGATATCAGGAAGATCTATTATGCACAATTTAAGTAAGTGTTGCAAGACATTGAACAATTTAAGTTAATAAAATCAGAATTTGAAGCAAGGTCTATTTAACTCCGACATAGAGTACTTGCACTTCGCTGTTTTTCTAAGACTTAATCTTCACAGCAGGACTGCACCTTTTATGAATTTTGTGGATGAAGAAATGAGGATAGATATTTTGCTCCAAGCAGCAGGATCAGGATTGGGACCCAGATCTCCATTTTCAAACTCCAGCTGTCTCCCAAGGAGTTGACTGACCAAATCTATATAATTATAACAAAACCCTAGGCCTTATGCCACGTGGGTACTACTTAAAGAGCATTCCCCAAGGGCAAGAGGAAAGTTGGATTCCTATGTCCTGTATTAAATAACATCCCAGCTAATATGGAAAACCTAATCAAGCTTGTCCAATCTATTTGCATCAGCTCAGTAAATCACAGGAAAGGGAGTTTCAAACAATCACTAATAAATAATAAATAAAATCACTAATAAATAAAAATATATATTTTTTATTAAATAGTTAATGTAAAAACCTTTTTAAATACTGATGAAAACACTAGGGGCTATGTTGAGACAAAATACATTATTATTATTTTTTAAAAGATTTTATTTATTTATTTGACAGAGACACAGCGAGAGAGGGAACACAAGCAGGGGGAGTGGGAGAGGGAGAAGCAGGCTTCCCGTGGAGCAGGGAGCCCAGTGTGGGACTCGATCCCAGGACCCTGGGATCATGACCTGAGCCGAAGGCAGACGCTTAACAACTGAGCCACCCAGGCGCCCCAAAATACTACATTATTTTAAGTTAAAAGTAACCTTTTTAATTTGGAGAAAGAGACTTTACTTAATATAAAAGAGGCTGCAGAAGATCAGAAGAAACTCAGATGTTGAGGTCTCCAGATGGTAACTCTTTTTTGTTGGTTCATTAAAGGCATCCATACAAGCTCATTTTTATCAGATTAAAAGATAAATAGGAACTAATTGCACGCTGGTGCCATTACTCAACTAACAGGCTTTTGTCATTTGCTCAGCAAAAGCCAACTTTACCTGAAAAGTAGAAACCCTTAGGCTATGAATAAAGCAAATATACAGGTTGTTGGTAGAGTACCTAAAACTTAGGCCAGAGAAACAATTTCTACAGAGATTGAATCTTAAATTTTGTGAGGACAAAAATTTTTTCCATTCCAAATCATTTATTTAAAAAAAATTTTTTTAATGAATTTATCATTATACCTTATAAGGTACAAAAAATTGGGAAGCTCTAACATAATTTTAACTATTCAATTATTATAGATAGAAAAAGTTTTAGGTTTAGCTGGATCGCATTACTAATATTCAATATTAAAAATATTTTTTAATTGCTTATTGGGAGCTAAGCACTGCTATGTGCTGAGGATGTAACTGAAGCAAATGGGTATGGTTACCTCCTTCATGTTTACAGATCAGTGGGGAATATATGTAAAATTAGGATCTATGGTGATGGCTAAGTAGAGACAAAGAATCAGCTACAAGAAAGGGATAGAGGGGGCATAAATCTGCTAAATCCTACCTATCTCAGGAAAACTAACAATAAGACAGGTTATCCATATGTGTATTTATATATGCATGTATATAGATGTCAAGTATATGTATTTGGCAGAGGTGGGAGAATGCAAGGAGGGGAGCCACAACAGATGTACATGGTTCTGAAGTAAGGACTACCAACGGTTAAAAGTATAAAACCTATGTTGTCCCCTACCCACAGTAATGAACAAAACAATAACACAAAGAACATTAGAGAACAATATGAGACAGTATATAATTAAATATTCAGGGACTATAATCACCTTTTAAAACTTGGAAACAGGGCACCTGGGTGGCTCAGATGGTTAAGTGTCTCAGGTAATGATCCCAGAGTCCTGGGATCGAGTCCTGCATCGGGCTCCCTGCTCCTTGGGCGCCTGCTTCTCCCTCTGCCTCTCTCTCTCTCTCTCTGTCTCTCATGAATAAATAACTAAAATCTTAAAAAAAAAAAAAAAAAACTTGGAGGGCGCCTGGGTGGCTCAGTTGGTTAAGTGACTGCCTTCAGCTCAGGTCATGATCCCAGGGTCCTGGGATCGAGCCCTGCGTCGGGCTCCCTGCTCCGCGGGGAGCCTGCTTCTCCCTCTCCCACTCCCCCTGCTTGTGTTCCCTCTCTCGCTGTGTCTCTCTCTGTCAAATAAATAAATAAAATCTTTAAAAAAAAAAGAAAGAAAGAAAGACAGTGGCCCAAGATCACAATGCCACCAGTAAGAGTTAACATTTATTGAGCACTTGCTATGTGCCAGGCACTGGTATAAAAGTTTTACGTGTATTATTGCATTAATCCCCACAAAACGTACTAATGTCATCCCTATCTTACAGATAAACTGAAGCTGAGTGGTTATCTAACTTTCTTAAGGTCATTTAGATCATAAGTGGCAGAACTAAGATTCTAACCCAGGCAGTCTGCCTCCAGAGCCCATGCTCTTAATAACCACTATATCATAATTTCTCTTGATAGTGGTAAAAGAAAGTCCAGAATTCAGTGCGTTTCCCACTATACAATTTCACCTCCCTTCCTCAAACAGTACTTTAAAAGACAGATTATAAGTGGTATAGAGTTCCTGGGTGGCTCAGCTGGTTAAGCATCTGCCTTCTGCTCAGGTCATGATCCTGGGGTCCTGGGATCGAGTCCGCATCAGGCTCCCTGCTCATTGAGGAGCCTGCTTCTCCCTCTCGCCTTGCTCCTCCCCCTTGCTCGTGCTCTCTCTCTCTCTCTGTCAAATAAATAAAATCTTTTAAAAAAGGACAGATTGTAAATGGTATAACAACAAGAACTATCCGTATTACTGATGGATAAACCTTTGATCTAGCAATTTTACTTCTAGAAATTTATGGTACAGATACACTCATTCACATTCAAGATGTTTATTTAAACATATCTACTGTTGTTTATAATGGGATATCAAGTGTTTGTAATAGCAAAGGATTGGACACAACCTAAATATCCACCAAATGGCATATACCCATACAATGGAATACTATGCAGCCATAACAAGGAATGAAGCCCTGGTACATGCTACAACATGGATGCACCTTGAAAACATTGTACTAAGTGAAAGAAGCCAGACACAAAAGGTCACATACTGTATTATATATCTATTCATATGAATATTCAGAATAGGCAAATCCATAGAAACAGCAGATTGCTGGTTACTAAAAGCTGGGGGGGGGGCTATTCAGGGAGTGAGGATAGACTGCTAATGAGCATGGGATTTCTTTTCAGGGTGATGAAAATATTCTGAAATTAGACATGTTGATAGTTGCACAACTTTGTGCATATACTAACAACCACTGAATTATGCACTTTAAAAGGATGGATTTTGGGGTGCATGGCTGGCTCATTCCAT